GTGGCCACCAAGTTTCTGAACCGAAGGCTTTAAAAAACTAAACTACCAAAACATTGGCAGAAAATCATACATTTAAGTGGTGATTACTATCCGCAATAAAGGTACTCCTTTCATGTTTTCCCCCCTTCTATCTTTTATAAGAAGAAAGCAGAAAACTTTTGTTATGACCAAATAGAAAAGAGAGTCAATCAAAATTAAATTAATATAACTAAAAACATATATCTATATGTAACTTTATTTACACAACAAAGGGAAGTGTCCCTCATATAAGTCAGATAAAGTGAAGTGAAAGGGAATGCTGGCCACACTACTTCTTTTAATTTTATAAAATTATAAGGAGTATAAAATGCTTGTAAATTTCCATCATGTACAGAGAATAATTTATCAATTGCTCCAGTTCAGAAAATTTTGTTTATAATGAATTTAATATGGAGAAAGCAAACTTTTATTTCAATGAAAGAGATAAAAGTACCCCATTCTGTTATGATTAGAAATACTTTTGTGTATGCTATCAGAAGTACTGTTTTAATAGTAAATAAAAAACAAGATTTCAAATTACTTAAATTTTGACTACTTCAATTTTACATAAATTAATTTCATTTCCACTTGAAATTTCATATTTAATCATAATAATTATTATATGAAAAATTTTTCAGAAGTCATAACTATTTTGGATTTCCTGAAAAAATACACTCTTTTTAAGTGGGCCATACATCTTGTTGGCTTTTGTCTTGCAGTTTTCTAACTGGTCGCTCACTATTCAGGTGGGGAACCATTTGTGTTCCTTTTCTTTTGCCTCTAGTTCAGTGAAAAAGCATTTAAAGAGAGGATAGCCTTGCTTAACTGCTTTATACTCTTTCGAACCTAGAGTGCCAAAAAACAGCCCCAGAGGAGAAGGGAGGGACAAGAGAGAAATATATTTGGGAAAGTTTTATATTCATTCATTACAAAGAAATAAAGTTATAAGAATTTTGACTCCCATACGACAAAAATTAAACAGGATATTTACTGTCAAAATTTGCAATTTTTGATGTCATTTACAACTTGTCTTGAGGAATCAGTTAATTAAGTTAAAATAATTTTAGGAAATAAAATTAAATGAAGTGTAGCAAAAGATGTGAGTAATTTAACAGGCCATAAAAGAAAGTCACGTGGTGTCCACAACAGATTTTTTAAGCAACTTGTACTCACATAAATAAAAGAAAAAGGAATTCCCTCCCTCCATCCCTTTTGCCAACTATGAATACAAATTTTTCTATTTAGGTGACTCTATAAAAGAAAATATAGAGATATATCTTATAATTTTTAGATTGATCTTCTTATGATTACTGACTAACACTTAATAATCTTGCAAAATATTACCTATAGTATAATCTTCGTATGCATAAAATTGCATATACTCACAGAACTGTGAAGTACAATTAGGATGCCAAGATCAGTCCATATTATGAACATAAATAAATTATACGAAATCTAAAGTAATTACAGTACGAAGTCTAAAATAAGATATAACTTGGCGGGACTTCCACGATTCCAGATTTGGGATTTTTGCTGATGTATGATAATCATGATCACTGAGATGTGGGGATTATAAAATAAAAAATACGAAATAATGAAGCACTCAGCACCTTAAGGGAATCAAAATTTACAAAAAAACTCAATATTTATGTGTTTACTTTATTAAATATTTCTTTCAATGTAAGTTGTTTAAATTGCTTTGTTTTTGTGCTAATATGTTCTCTTTATATTTATAGACATAATTTCTGGTCAAGTAACAAAGTTCCATGATTCGAATTCTCTAACTACCCTGTTGAGAATTTCCACTAAACTCTCGATTGGAATTTTTATTTTTATTTTTAACAATCTCTCTGTCACTTTCTTCACTGGTATTAGTGATATTGTGAAATTTTCTGGATTTAGAGTCATATTACAGATTTTACCCTCCATTAGTTGACTGATAATTAGGGCACTGTCATCACTATGAAAAGCTTATATCGTCATCTATTACCACTTCTTCACAAATTCCATAATTTGGAAAATTTTGCCTTTTGTTTGCAATATCTGACTTTCAGATTCACGACTATCAAAATAAAGCTTAGCTAGCATCCGCTGTATACTATTGGGAATGTACACAGTGTTTGCACATTTTTTAGATGACTTTGCTTTGCTTTAAAAAAAAAAAAAAACTACTTGGAAATTTTTTTAAACTACAGCTATATTTTTGAAAGTGTAAGTTATTGTCTGCTATTTGACAATTTTACTTTCATACAAAATGGTACTTTTAAATGATCAGTGTTAACTGTAAACAAAGTGATTAATGCCGATTTGAATCTTAAAAAGCCGAAAAAACGTAATGTGCATCATCTTTCTCCACCACATATCACCAAAAGCAGAACATGCTGCAGAACTCTCTATGAGAAACAATTATTCTGACAAAAAATGGAAAAGTGTTGTCACAACAGCTGAATCTTGGGTATATTTAAATAACCACAATAAAATTTATTATCATCAAAGAGAAAAAAAAATCTTAGAACATGTTTCAAAGAATGTAAAGAAGTTTTACAAAGGAATTTATGATTGTTGCTCCTTTTTCATATAACAGCAAATTAAAAGTAAAGAGAGTGGAAGAAAACGTTAAGATCAACTCCACATATTATCGGGAACATATTTTACACCCAATTTTCAAATATAAAATACCTTCTTTTTACATACAGTGCCATCAATCAACTGCATCAAGACAAAGCAAGCAGCTGCATGTCAAAATCCAATGTTAATTTCCTAGATAAAATGCAACAGTAAATGTGTATCAAGGCCATACCCTTCACACATATCCCTACTAAATCTCCTTATGTATCATCCATGGATTTTTGTGCATTTGGACTTTTAGAAAACGGACTGTCCAGATGTTGACCTACAAACCTCCTTGGACTTTGGAAAGCTGTTCAAGAGGAATGGGATAAAATACTGTTTATGCTAGTAAAAAAAGCTTTATTGTCATGGAAATTACAGTGTACAAATATAGTGAAGAATAAAGGTTATCAAATGGAACATTTAAAACACAAAAATTTTAGGTAAAATTTTTCTTTAAATCACTATGAAAATTGTCTAAACAATGTGCAAACAGCCTCTGTATCATAAGATTGGCAACTAAAGACATTCTGTTTCGCTAAATTTTGTTTTGCTTCAATTGCACACTGATGAAGTTAAACCTCCACTACGTCAGATTAATTATATATTATACTTACGTCTCTTTCTGGAACATGTTTAAGGCTTATCTGAGTAACAAATAAATAAATTTCCACATACACTTAAGGCTTGTCCGGGGCCGGCACTAGATAATTTGCGGTTAGGTGCAGTCTTTGTGGGTCCTAAATTTTGATATCTCCCTCTCTTAATTCAAAACATTTTACCACCCCTAAATTTTGCATCTCAGTGCCCTACATTTTAAAGATTTGGCCATACTTTAATTTTGTAGCTCGGTGCTACTCTAAATTCTAAAAAAATTTGCTCTTTCTAAATTCTGCTGCACCAACTCTGGTGTGGTACAGGGCTTATATGAATTACCAATCAGTTATTCTCAATTCAGACAGCACTGAATATAAACTTTTTGCTTTCTCATTTACAAAATCTATTTTCCACATATGGAAATTAATTTACATTAAATTTCTTCTCATCAACACACAATACTTTGCAGCGCAGTTAGCTGAAGTCTGTAATCTTCACCAAGCTTAATGTCAATATACATGCTCTTTGGTATTCAGTTACTAATATTTATGAAAAAAGGAAAAATGTTCAGACATCATGGGCAGAGTCATTTCTCAAACTGTCATGTATTGATAGTCATGCAGTGAAGAAAGCAAAAAGTAATAAATAATGATTTGCCAGGTTGGCATTGGGTACAAATTATTCACTAGGTGCAAAATTAACAATACTGATGTAGAATGTTTTGATTTGAGATGTATGCCAAGCAACAAGATGGCTACAGAGCCAAATTATTATCATACAGATTCCTACTAACGAATGCATGTTTCTTCAATATAAAGGTATTTTATTTAGTGTCAAAGGGAAATTAAGAGTCAGGACTCTCCACGTGTGTTATTGTGGAAAATATCAAACGTGCATACATAGAAAAAAAATAGCACAAAAAATTCTTTTCAAAAGGGGATTGGTGGTTTTGCAGAGGTCCAGATTTTAGATCATTCCAGATATTTGACATCTAGATTTTGGATTTTGTACTGTATGCATATTAGTTAACTACCTACAACAGTATTAGGTAATAATACATGGATGAAAGAAAGACTTCGCATTTTATTGAGCTATATGCCAATCTATAATATTATATCAAATGCATTTTTCTAGTATAACAAATGCTCTGCTGTAGAAGCAAATAAATTTATAACACTGATCCTTCTTCTACGGTGCTAATTCAAGTAAATTCATGAACAGATATTTGCTGCCTGAAATAAACAATTTATTTATTCACTGTTTTCACTAGCACTCTTACATTACATTCTTTGAAAAAAGGATACTGATTCAAACATGAAAAGTTCAAAAACAACAAATGAGTAAAGGAACAAATTATAGAAGTTTCATAATTACAGTTTGTATCAACCACTAAAATTTTTGGCATCAAGATAAATGTAAATTATTTTTGCAGAGACATTTTTTAACTTATGTTTATTAATTTTAATACCTATCATGAATCAGTACTTCTCAGCTCCTATAAATCAATGCCTATATATGTCACAAATATATACTAAGCAGACTCAGAAGAACTAAATATACAGGTGAAATGAAAAGTTACAAGGTTTCATATAAATTCTTAAATAATAACATGAGTTTTTCCTGAGTTGACAGTACCTTATTTCTTACACTACTTTACAATTCTACAGAAGTCAACCAATTAGTAACACATATCTCATACACAATATAATATCATGTCATAGAATATCTTCTCTAACTCATTCATTCGTGAATAAAATGGAGGTTCTCATACTTACTTTTTTCAAAGTTCTCACCAGTACTTTCTAGCAAAATACTTGCTTGTAATTCTTTATCTATGAAATAAAAATCAAAAATATAATATTTTTTTCATTTGTATGAAATATGTATACAGTCAAAAGTCGTTAATCCGGACTCATCGGGACTTCGCCGATTCCGGATTATCGATTTTTCCGGATTATAGATCATAAGTTAATCCGTAGATGGCATGCAAAATTCTAAATACAAATATGAACGTAATTTCTGAATAAAACAGTAATATCTAAAAGGTATCAAATTTACAAAAAAAAAAAAAAAAAAAAAAAACCCCTTATATTTTTGTTTACTTATGAACATTTCGTTAAAGGTAAGTGTGTAAGCTCATTTATGTGATATACTGTCTTTATTCTGAAACAGATATAATTTCTTTTCAGTTAAAAGTTCCCTGTTCAGTCGTTAATACGTACGCGAAACCGCCTAACTTAACTCGAAATGTTTTGTTTCCTCACTCTGTCACATTCTATCCTTTTTTGTAGCAATCCACTTTTTGTTGTTGGACACGAAACATATTCGTTTGTAGACCTTTGGAAGTTCCCGTCAGAAATTCTATTACTATAGAAAGTCAGTTATTATAAATGCTCTTCTTCTGCTGCACAAATATAAGCGGATCCATCGAAGATTAAGAAAACGCATCATTAACATTACTGAAATAGTAATTAGATAATTTTAGCTACACCGTCCGTATACATTACGCGCAGGCGGAAAACGTCTTCTGCACTGCGACGACCTATGCGCATTAGTCAGGTCTTACCGCACGCTAAACGACTGTGCGCATGTGCCAACCGGCGCCTGCGCAGAAAGTTTGTAGCTTTGAGTCGGATTATGGGTGTCCGAATTAATGACTTTTGACTGTATTGACAATAAAAGTTGCCATTACTAATTCTTATAAAAACATTTAAAGCTATAAATTGAACATTAAAATTAAGAATCTATATTATGGCACAGCACATGAAGCACATCAATCCAAGGAAAATGATGGCTTTATGGAGAATTTTATAACAGTAACAAGCTGACATTAACATTAAACAACAGGAAAAACTATTGGGAAAAAAAAAAAAAAAAAACCTTGCAGACAGCTCACTTAATCTCTAGAAATAAAATAAGGGTGAATTATAAGCATTCAAAAGCTTTACTCAGCCATATATAGGTTCATTAATAATAAACAATTGGGAATATTTTACCTTCATAAAAAAATTTGAAAGTAATGTGTAAAACAAGAATTTATCAATCAATGCACCAGTTCTCAAACCTACTCAGCCATATGCAATCAGCTCCAAACATCTCTACGAGGTAAATATCCTACAGTAATAGGATTAAGTCCTTTATCTTGGGGTGATCCTCAGTAAAACTCTATCATGGTACCCTCACATAACATCTATCCTTAATAAGTTTTGAGTTTTGAAACAGTGTACTTTCAATAGACAACAAGTTGCTTATTTATAAAGCCGTATTGCGTCCCATACTATGCTACGCCTGCCCGGTCTGGGCATATACATGCAAACCTTATAGAAAAAAATTGCAACAGGCACAAAATTGTGTCCTAAGACAGATTACCAATTCGCCCTGGTATGTTCGAAATCAAAAGTTACATGAAGAATTGGGTATAGAACAACTTAAGTATTTTTACTGCCAGCTCGCCCGGAACTTCTACGCCAATCTTATTAATATCAACAACCCAGTTATAAGGATTTACAATTATGACTTTAATGACCCAAATAATAGTAAACGGCCTATTGGCCATACTTAGCACCCATATTGTATAACTAAATTAATCTAATACGTACCTCTTAATATTGTATAATAGATTTAAGGTTTACTTATTATTAATGCACCGAGAAACTCAAACTACTTTGCCTATTATTTATACGAATGTTTTTCCTACATTAGGCTATAGCCAGCTCATTTTTCCTTTCTTGGCCTTCCCAGATAGCACTTCAGGTCTATTGAAACTTGACCAAACTTTATTTTCTTAAATTACTATCGTATTTCTTCTTAATTTTGACCTGTTGAACCTTTAATTATATATAATATATAAATTTAACGATATACTAGTTCTCGCTAGCTTCCCCTAAACTGTTTGTACAAGGGGTATGTCTGCCTGCACACCTAGTGCGTCCTACTAGGATTACACAATCACCGTTCCATCGTATTCAACTCTGTTGCTACGTCAAAGTCGTTTATGCGGCCACCCATTAATACGAATGATTTAATCGGACCTCAAAGATACAAACGTTCTGCGCATCGCTTTGACGCACGCGCAGGCGTTACCATGTGCGGTTTATGCATAACGGAGTTTAAGCACTAAATTATCTAATTCAGTTAATGTTGCAGATTTGTTGTTCCTATTTCGAATGGATCGGCTATTTTTTTTGAGCCTGTTAAGCAATTTATAAAGTAGCTTGAACATTGTTATGTCCCACAGACTTCAATTTGTTTACTAATGTAAAGGATACAAAGCGAATATGTTTCGAATCGAAATCTGTATATTTCACGCTGCAAAGCGCATAATGATTGAGTGATTGTCAGCCTTCCTTTTTCACGAAGATGTTTTATTTATTTGGCGTATAATTCGTACTAAATGTATTTCATCCGATGTACTTTGATAGATTTAAAGCAATATCGCATTGAAGCCGAAACTTGTCCTAACAGAATTATGTCTGTTTTTAAATAGAATAAGAGAAAGTATATCACATGACTAGCAACTTAAACAACTACATTTAAAGAAATGTTTATAAGTAAAAAAAAATATTAACCTTTTTTTTTTTTTTGTAAATTTGTGCCCTTTCGATAATCCTAATTTTTTTTATATTTAATTTTGTATTCTGTTGTATTTCCGGATTTCCAACTGATCTCTCACCGGAAAAATCGATAATCCGGAATCGCCAAAGTCCCGGCAAGTCCGGATTAACGACTTTTGACTGTATTCAACATTTTCTTATAGCTCTGTATTGATATGCATATTTCAAATTTGCTTATTTGTTTATTAATGCCCACATTTTTAGATGTTATGTCCCTCAACATCAGCATATGCACTTCCTGCAGTTTCGCTTTGTTCATACAACGCTATTCAATTTTGTCTTTCTCCTGATTGCTCAAAAAGTAGTATGTTCTCAAATCTTGTGTGAACTATAATGTCCTGTCATCATTAACATGTTTCTAAGCTACATTTAAATAGTTCAACAGAATTCATCCCTTTGCCACAGACCTACTTTCTTGCAACGAGTTGGCATCAAAACTCCATATGGCTAATACCCCAGCTCGCGAACAATTGGACTGCCGACCATTCTCAAACCTTTTGAAACCCTGTTCATAATTAAAAATCTAATGCATCCCAGTGATAAAATTTCCCCACTGAGGATAAGTTGCAAAAGACTTTTATAACTACCTTGCAATGTTCTGATGGAGTCTTCTAATCAATCAAAAAAGCCTATTTGCAATAAAAAAATCTCAAAGCTGTTTAATTTGTCTTATTTTTGTTGTCTTAACTGTATCCTTATTTGAGAATCCTAATTATATATTAGCAAATGAAATAAGGGTACTTCCTTGCTAAAGCGGCCCCTGAGAATGAATCACCAATCAACCGACATATCTCACCACAATCTGGCTGCATGTTCTTATACTTCACCACATGATCGTACATTAGCACTGGCGGTATGTGTTTATACCTCACCATGTAATTGCATATTAGTGTCATGTTGCATTTTTGCTCTCGCTGCATGTTCTTACGTTTTTCATTCTTTTATCAGGCTTTCGAATTTGCATGCTTTATTTTAAAATATATTCATTGCTTTTTTTGTAAATATGATGTTAACAATCTTTAATTTACCAAGTAATGATGTAGATGCCATATCATTTTTTTCGGGAAAGAGCTCTTTTACCTGACAAATGAGCGCAAAAATTCCTACAACATGAAACTTTATATTAATGACGAAACCATTTGGAGGTAAAATGTTAAAAATTGCAAAAAGGAAATGGGCCTTCATGTTGAAAATTGGTTTAGCAGTTCCAGAATAGAGTTTTTCACTACTATTACATTTACGCATTTTTGGGCGAAGAAGTTGATATCCATGAAATGGTGTAAGAAACAGCTTAATATGTGAGGAAGTGCTACAGTTGACATGCATGTGATAAAATAATATTAATAAGGATAAGGACTCTTAAAATATTACTAGGAAATGACATTGAGTATTATTGTTATTATTATACATTGTGTTTATCTTTACAGTCATGCTTTACCAGCTTGACAGAAGTAGAGCCAAGATCTTGGTGCAAATCTTAAATTCCCAAATATGGTGGGAGGCCGCTATAACAAAGATGTACAACATTAATTTTTTATTTGTTTGAAATAATAATAAGGAAATTTTTCTTCATTCAAGAAATATAAATTAATTAATTAAAATTTTAAAAATCTCTCCTAACAAACTATTTGCATGTTCTTTGGAATTTATCCACTTATTTCTTGAGGTTCACATATACAGTTTGAGAGCCACTGAAAAAATTCAAAAGATGAATTTTTAACTCATAAATTTTGCAAAATAAGAGTTCATAAGGGTAATTAAAGCATAATTAAGGTTTTGCATTAATAATACAGTACAAAGTCCTAAATCCGGACTGGTCGGGACTTCGTTGATTCTCGATTTGAGATTTTTCCCGATAATAGATCATCAATTTAAATCTGGTAAGATGCCATGCAGAAGTTAATATACAAATAAAAATATGAAATCGTAATTTTTGAACTAAAGAACAATTATGATCTAAAGGGTATCAAAATTTACAAAAACCAAGCTAATTTATTCGTTACTTATTAACTTTCTTTCAATGTAAGCTTTAATATGCTTCCACAAAAAAATCAAAAAGTCTCTTCTTTGTCAGATAAAGTGACTTCAATGCCATACTCTTGCATGAAACGATGAACAACATGAAGAAGGTGCCAGAAGGTAAAAAGAAAAATTTCATTGACAAGTTAGTAGGATCTCGGACAGCAATTATGGACTTGACAGCAGAAACTTGTAACTGACAAAAAAGTATGCCTGTTATAGAATTAAGAAAAGTTATTACATAAAACAAGCACTTAAACAATTAGATGGAAAATGTTATAAGTCATAAAGTAAAAAATAAATTAAGTTTTTTTGTTTTTTTGTAACTTGATACCCTTTAGATTATGTTCTTATTTTAAAAGTACGGTTCAATTTTAATTTAGAATTTCGCATGCCTTTGAGATTAAATGATGATCTATAATCCGAAAAATCGATACCGGAATCGCCGAAGTCGACGAGCCGATAAGCTTTGACTGTATAATTAAAAAGTGATCTGACACTTTAAAAAGTATTAGCCAATTGATCAATACTATAATAAATAAAATCATATAAATCTTTCTAATATTACATTAACAAAACTTTGCATGTAGATTGATGAATACTATTTACGTAGTAGTTTTGCGATCATGCTGTTTGGAAACATGTTAATGCATGATCTCAAATACAGTCAGCTTTCATCTGCTTTTTTTTCTTTCATTGGCTACAAATGCCTTAAATTGAATGCACACTGCTGTTTCTCGCACCAAAGTCACACAGAAACAAATACCCATTTCTAATTATACTAATTATATGTAGAAATTTAATGAGATTATAAATTTTATATACTAGTTAATTTCATTTTGTAATTTCCTTACACTTTTATATCAAGCATTTCCAAAGCAGAGAAAAAGTTTTTATTACCACAGTATTTTTAAAAACGATGAAAGTAAAATTCCTATTTAATGTATAAACTGTTGTGAGGATAAACTTAGTAATATGCCATATATTAATTTAAAACAAAATTAAATACAAATATTAACTGATTAAACATTGGTTTGGTATTCGTATTAAATTCTGTAAATTTAACATTCCTTTATCCCTCATATTTTTAGTTTTTTAGAAAAAAACTTTACCAATATTCGTACCTATTATAACTGGAATAACAGATGTAGCCTTCTGGTAAAAAAATTGTGAACTAGGAGGTTGTTTAACCTGAAATTAGAAAAAAATTAGATAGCAACAATAAATTATTTCAGTTTTTTCCTGCTGAATATTATTAAATTTTCCAAAATAATCAATTCAACTTATTTACAATTTTAATGAACTTTTGTTTAACAAACTCAGTAATTTGAAAGAGGTAATTCTGTTCTAAATAAAACATTTTTATCTCCAGTGTGCCAGGCTGTTGCCATTCGGGAACACTCTTTATCTCTCATTTTGGCTAATCTTTGGAATATGGTATCAGGTAGTTTGGCGACATTTTGGTAAGGCGATAAAGGTTACTAGCTAGGATACGCGTATATGAAAAAGTCAGAGTGTGGCAATGCCATTTTTGTGCAATTCTGGGATGCTTTTAAGTGAAAATCGTCGACGTTACATGATACCATGTTGTAAATTCTTCAAAAACGCAGCAGCAGTGGGCGATTCTGACTTTTACCATTTCGCACATTCTTCGTCATATTCAGCACTTTTGTTAAAAAGTTTAGCTAAGTATAATTCGGGAAGCAGATTGTTGGAAAAAAATGTTGAGTAAAAAAAAAAAAAAAAAAACATGCCTTACTTCGTGAAAACAAAATGACATCCAAAAAAAAAAAAAAACAGCAGGTTGCTGTAGCAGGGTTGATCGCCAAATTTTCGCCAAGTGACCATAATCTGAAGATTAACCCTCATTTTTAATCAATTTCAATCTAATGCAAATAATTTAAAATATTTTGCTTTTTTTTTCTTTCTTTAATAATGTAAATATCACCTTAATGGACGGAAGGTAGTGAAAACAGATAATTATAAAAATTTAGCTCATAGAAGCTGCTTAAGTAAAAAAATTCCACAAACTCGGTATGCATGTACACAACAACCTATTTTCACTTAAAAAAACATCAGAGACTTGCACAAACTTGGCATTGTGCACTCCCTTTCTCCATGTACATACTGATCTATTTCTACTTAAAAAGTTAGAGGAGCAGCCAGTTCTACACTAGAACCAAATATATATATATATATATAATCTCAATAAACTACATTTTAAATCAAACACTGAATAACTTAAAACTTTGCCACCACACAAAGCCAAAATAAGAAGTCAAAGAATTGCACAAACTCAGTGTCCGTGTACCGCCAAAAATCACGAAGGGACACCCGTAAATATATTTTTACTGATATTTAACATGCTCAGTGCATGATGCTAAGTTTGTGTAATTCTCTGACATTATTTCTGTAGCAAAAACAGATTGCTGTGTACATGGGAAGAACAATTGTAATGCATCAAATAATATATCATGTAAAATGTTTAGTGTATCATATAATCTTTACTTTTAGATTAAAATTTCTATTTTAAATTGCTCAAGTGTATTTTCATTTGATACATTGAAAATGTCTGCCAGCTTAAGAAATTATCAACTCGCCCACTGTAAATAACTTTTGCCAAATTTTCATATTGTGAATAAATATAAATAAAACACTTACCATTTCTTCTTTGGTATAACCCTCTTTTGTCCACGCACATATTTCTTCATGATGAGCAAGAGTTGATTCAGGGACCCAATGCCCAGGATCTTTAGTGCAAACAGATTTGAACTAAAAAAAGGTGCTACAATTTTAATTATGCACAACACATGATAAAAACAAGGATGACATTAGCTAGGTTTATAATAAAAACTACTTAATACCCATGATAATCTTGTTAACTATTTATTATAAATGAATCTGACTTTAAAATAATTAATTTAAGATCATTTGAAAGATATTTTTCAAAACAAATGAATATTTTCAAAGTAAAAAACTGTCTGTTTCTTTAAATACTAACTACAGACTGAAAAATGGGTTAATCTTTAGATTATGGTAACTTGGCAAAAATTTGGCGACCAACCCTGCTAGTTTGTTGCGACGCCTTGTGGGTTCACAAGTAAAGGCATGTTTTTTTTTTTTTTTTAATCAACATTTTTTTCCAACAATTTGCTAGCCGAATTCCGCTTATGCTAGAACTTTATGGTACAAAAGTGCGTTAATCATGACGCGATTAGTGCGAAATTGTGAGAAAAGGCAGAATTCGCAAACCTTGGTGCCGATTTTTAAGAATTGCGAACCATGGTACATGTACAAGTCACTATTTACTAAAAACATCCAGAATTGACACAAAAAGGGCATGCGCACCCTCTGACTTGACCTGTTAACTGTCCAGTCTAGTTAGTAACCTTTATCACTAACCCAAAATGTAGTCAACTACCTGTTACCCTATTCCAAGATTAGCAACCTCCGTTTATTTTTTCATTTACATAAAACTGTGAAGAAATTTCAATGAGCCAAAGAAGGTGTAAAAGTTTGTACAAAAAAGAAGAAATAAACATACGTCCTTCCATGCACCTCTCATTGATATGAACGAAAACATTCAATTAAAAAAAAAAAACAAAAAAATTACTACAACTCTAAACAACTAATTTCCCAAATGGGCGATAGGTTCTGCACTGGTTTTGGCCGATTGGTGTTCTATGGCACCCTGTGACTTGAAACTCTTGTGGAGCCGTGGTTCGCCTTGGTATGAGAATGGGAGGGAAGCTAAATGGAGTGTTGCATTGCAGTTCGGCAGAATATGTTCGGCATCCTTTGAGGGTAGTGGTATTCGGAAGTGGAAAGAGGTATGGAGAGTATTTTATGGGTGCATAATAAAAGTAGGGTTGTATTTTTATGTGATCATCGTATAATTTTCGGATTGTGTGTGACTGTCATGTAAATACGATAGTGATTATTGGCGGCGTTAAAGGCGGTATGCAATTTATTTTTTCTTCAAAAACGCATTAATCATGGTAGTGCATTTTATTGTCTTGTCTTCTTTTGAGGATGTTATGTTTTGGTCTAGTCTGATCTGTCGTTATTGTTGGTTTTTAAGTGTTGAACTTATTTTAGTTTTTTGTTTTTAGAGTCAGACTGTACCTTCGTAGATGTTTTTAAGTTTTAAGTTTAACGAGCGGTTCTGGTATTCTTGCCATTTCTTGTTGTTCTGTAATTATTAAGCGAGTGTCGTAGTTGTAGCAGTTGTAGCTTTTTACGTTTTAAAACATGGGCGGTACGGATTCGTGTCAACATTTTTTAGAGAAACTTACTTTGCTATCTAATTTTTTGTTTGTTCGGATTTAGCTATTGTGTGTCCCCCGTAGTTTTGCATGTGCGCAACCCGCGTTTTTGGGCGATTTAGGCTAAGGTTCAAACTTAGACCAAAATTAAATAGTAATCTGGCAGGTGAAGTTCTCGCCAAATTTTGGCGCTGGGGCGATATCAGCGTCGTTCCAAAAATTAATCAATAAAAAGTTCTCGAGGATCGCATATGATGAGAAACACCGTGCTTTTTAACCTTAACTACTGTGCCTTAATGTCCTATACTGTAGCGTCTCTCAGACGTTCTGCTACCAACCATAAATATTGTTTCTTTTCTTCTTGCCATTTCATTCATTTCTATATTAACTTTTCTGAAGATAAGCAATTTTTCCTAGAAAGTTTCACAAATAAATAGTACTATGGTAATCTTCGCTTACGATCTGGAGGCAGACGTAATTTTAATTCAGCTTTTCTGTTTACTTCCCTTGCCTAAGAATGCTTTCAAAGAATATAGAAATTCATTTTATTTTAAAATTATAATTCGAGCGGCTTATACATACTTTCTACGCATGTAGAACACTGGTTCTTTGCATTCTATACATAGTAGCAGTTTTCCTTTTTTTTTTTTTTTTTTTTTTTGCTCGGATGGAATTAGCAGTTTATTTTTATCTATTTATCGTCCCATGCAATGTTCCATCTCATTTATTCCAAAAACTTTCTTGAGTTGAGTTCTTAGAATTATCTCCGTTGCAGAGAACAACTGCCTTGCTATGCATCTTTTCGTTCATTTAGAGCCATGGCTAAGATTGAAATAATCGCTACATTATGCAATGTATCCAAGTTTGAAGAATGCCATAGGCCACAACGTCGGGTTCTACGAGCAGTTGTTAGATTGAACGAGATAATATTGTGACTACGAGTTCGAACACCCTTGTTGACCACTTGAATAGACTATTTGATTCATTTTTCCAAAAAATCTCTTGCAGAGGAGAACAGGATTTTCATTTTCAACGGCAGATATTTCTGAATTGTGTCATGTTTGCTCTCAATAATTTCATCATGGGAACTTTCAATCAGAGAACTTAGACCAATTGTGAACATTTATAAAATTGGTCGTGTAAGATATATGAACGTTCTGCACGCATTTGAAGCATTCAGAATATTATAAACAATGCATATTTAAACAAAAAAGTGAACTTTTAATCAAAATTTAATCGTATCTGCTGTGATCGGTCCCACAGACCGCTGAAGGGGTTCAATTTTAAAAAACTAAAAGAAGAACTAGAGCTAGCCAAATGCAACTTAATATGTGACCTTGGACAACTGTTTTAGGAAGGTACTAAGAATGGAAATAGCCATTAATTATTCTAAGAGGTGGAAGCATTTAATGGAAAATGTCGCGCGGTCTCACAGACCGCTCACAGCAGTTAAAAGATTAATCGAAGAATGTTTATATCAATATATTGAAATTCAAAACTGAACGAGCTATGCTTAACTTTACATCATTGTTATAACTTTTTTTATTTTGAAATCTTAGATTTCTGCTAAAAAGATCGTCAAATTTATATACTACAATTACCAATAAAAGTGTCATTAAAATACTAACTTCATCATTCAAAGATTCTTCGCACCAACCTAACTTATTTAGCACATCCACAGGAATTTCACCTTTATCTTTCAAAAAAATTTCCAATTCTTCTATTTGTTTAAGTCTTTCATCAATTTCCATCATTTAATAAAGTACTAGATTTCAGATACTTCAAAATACACACACAGAAAAAAAAGAACTGGGCACACAGAACAGACATATGTCTTGCTTCTACGTTTTTCTGCCCGCATGACGAAAAACCCTAGCTGCCCAAATATGATGTACTATTAAAGAGTTAAGCATTAACTGTATTTTTATAACAATTTTTCATTCATCTCACATTTACCATATTAGTGAACTATCATAGTAGTTAACTAAATTTAAAATTTAACTTTTTATTTCAAAATCATTCGAAGCGGGGAATAATTATAAATTTTTCAGTCAGTCTCGACGGAGATTGGATCCCGTGCTCATTTTGAAGTATTAGATTAAAATATAAATTTACTGTTAACTGAAAATATCTGCCCCTAATATTAATCAAAGAGGATAATTTCATGTGATTGTGACAGTTAAAGTGTAATGAACTATGTCTTTAGCGTTTCTAGGTAGTCTAATGAGCGAATTTTTATCGCTGATATTTAAATACTTTTCTATAAAAAATAATTACAATTTTTTTTAATTGATGTATATTCGATTTCGAAAAAAGTTTGCACTACAACTTCAACTCAGGATTTCTCTGAACAAGACGCAACGTGATTGTAAATACAGCTCGTCAAGATGGTGAAGACAGGAACGCGGAAACTTAAAATCCCGAAACCTGTAAGTGTTTAATCTTTCTTCATCGGTTAATCTTATGCAGTCATAATGAGTAAAATCAATTTTATTAAAACTGTTAAGAGTGGTACGTAGTTGTCCGATATTTATTTTCAAACTGCCCTCCCCTTTTATATTATATTTTTTAAGCTACGGGAGAACCCTGAAGTATATTTTTAAGTAAGGGGGGAATGTGAGGATGTTTTAATTTGTGTATGAATTATGGTTTTCAGATGATAAAGTATGCGAAAGTGTTTATGTATCTAAAATCATGCGTGTTGATATTGAATTTTTTAAAAATTTGTTATCGGTACGGTAATGAAATATTTATTTTTTATAGAAAGACAAATGAATATTTTGATGCTAAAAAGTAACACTGATAAACGTTTAATCTTTCAAATCTAAATGTTAAAATATTTCTGTAAGGTTAAGTAATTTATGTACTTGGGATCACAATGACTTAACGATGTATAATCATTGCTTAGTACTACTGTTTAAAATCGCATACTACTTTTGGGTTTCCTTGAACACGTGTCCAGTTTTGTGTATGAAAATGAATGGGTAAAAGTTTACAATTGGGTGCCCCTTGTTTTTTGGCGATTATTTTTTTATGATGCCAAGATCGGCACCAGGAAGGTACAATTTCTTGATGGTCGCTACACAAAACCAAAATAAGAGGTCAAAGAATTGCACAAACTCTGTGTCCATGTACACATCGATCTGTTTTCACTAAAAAAACATCCTAGATTTGCACAAACTAGGCATTGTGCACTGCCTTAAATTTGTGCATGTACACATAAATTTATTTTCATTTAAATGAAATTAGGAAGCTGAAACAGAGTTAAAACTATAATGGTAACCAGAAGTGAGGTTTCATTGTGAAAAATTTTTAAAAAATTGTCACTAATCGAAGGAGCACCCAATTCTACACTAGAGCCAAATGAATAATTAACATGTATTTTAAAATTCAATTATAATTGGTGGATGAATATTTACGATATTAGGTTTTTCCATTTTTATCTTTAATTTGAAATGCTGACTGTACCGTAAAATTAATGTTTTCGTGAAATTCTGATTTACCATCTTTAAGTTTGTATTCTCTTGAAGAATTACAACCAACTAATTTCAGGTAAAGAAATGCCATGCTTCTTTATTTATTAGACAAACTACCTTTACAAATAACTTATAATTTACTTCGTATTCTGTTATAGAAAGCAAATGCAGGGAAAGAAAAAGAAAATAATAGAATGCGGGAAGTCAGAATTCGGAAATTGTGTTTAAACATTTGTGTTGGTGAGTCCGGAGACAGATTGACAAGAGCTGCTAAAGTAAGTAACCTAATATCTCAAAATCTGAATAATCCCTAATTTTTTCTTAGTCTTTTAAGTTCATTTTGTGATTCTATAAAAATTGAAAGATAAAACAAATTTAAAACTTGAAAGCGTTTTGCGGGGCAAAGTGCAGAATCACCCACTCCTTTGTGCATTTCTCAAAATCGCTAATTTGAAAATAAATCAAAGAGTTGCACAAACTTGGTATCCATGTGCATATTGGCCTATTTTCACTTTAAAAAACATCAGAAACTTGGCATTGCATACTCCCTTGACTTTGTGCATATACACATTGATGTGCTGCATATAAGTGGGCGATTCTGAATCAACTTGAAAATAACAAGTCAAAGAATTCACAAACTGGGTATCCATGTACACATTGACCTATTTTCACTTTTAAAAAAATCTTGACAATTGCACGAACTTGGCATTGTGCACTCCCTTGACTTAGTCCATGTACACATCAATACGTGCCATGTAAGTGGACGATTCTGCACTTTACCAGAAAAAAAAAAAAAAACCTGCAGTAGAGAAAATTTGTTCCTGTATAGTAGAAGTGAATATATATACAAGGTGTCTGAAAAATATGTGATACTTATTTAACTCTTCAGTTATCCAAATGTTTTTACTCTAAAATCTTAAAATTCTTGAGAATACAATGAAAAAAGGTGTTTGAATAATTTGGTATGTTTTGAGATGCATATATATATATATATATATACACAAGGTATGCTGTAAATGTTGTGACAAACTTCTAGGAAAGGTAGAGCACATCATAAGGATTAAAAATTGTTTAGGAACCCATAAACCTGGAAATGTCAGAGGAAAGTGGTAGAAGATGGGAAAAGAAAACGAGTGTGGTTAATTTGAAACATTTATTGGATGTGAATACAAATAGTGTATGCAAACTTGAATGTGACAACAGATGCTCGAAGTTTGCACCATCAGACCCAAAACATGCCTGACACTAATGAACCGTTGATTGCCGGACATGTTCAAACATATGAGGACTTTGTAGCAGCTGGGCAGGCAAGTCTTGCCACAAGACGATGTGATACAGAAAATTTGGTGGCTCTTCGTAAGCAGCTGCTGACCAAACCCGCCCAGGCGTTAACTTGTTGTTGTGCCTCGCACCATGGGGATTTTATTGAGCCCACAAATGCTGTTTGTGGTGATTGAATACAGTATACCTATTACATATGGCCTCATCTGTGAATAATACATTAGCTGAGAAATTAACATCGCTGGTATTTTCTTGCAGAAACCACTGTGAAATGCACACATTCTGAATGGTTATCGGGGAGCACTAACTGAACCCTTTGGAGACAAAAGGCATGGAAGGACTCTGCGTCCAAGACACTGGTAACAAGACTTTCTTAATTGAGATGCAATGGCACGTATGCTGATCCTTGGATTACACTCCACCGTATCCAACACACTTTCTTCCATAAAGCCCCAGTCACATTATGTTTCGGCAACACGGGACTTGATGTCGAAAGGGACAATTCGAAGAAACCCGCGTAGCTAGGTTACCATTTTCACTTACTACAAAGACTTGAATGCCAAATAGTAATCGATTATGGCTCAGACTGGGATGATGTGATGCTTTAGCGGCAGAACTTTCGTGTGATTGGTTGTCTCGGGGAAAGTGCAGAATCGCCCACTGCTTGGCGCGTTTTTCGAAATCGCCAACTTGGCACACTCTCGCATCTTGTCTCCTGTATTTGTAACCCCTCCAGAAGACACTATGTAAGGCGCAACATTTACAATGGTGAACAGGTAAAATAAAAGCTGAAGCAAAATTTTGAAAACTGAAAATCCTTTAAAAACTGCATAATAATTTTAAAAAACAAACTTGGTTAAGAAAACATAGTAAGCTTAAAAAACTTAAAATCGTTACAAAACCGTAAAGAATTAAAATTTATTCACCTATAAAAAAAGTTGGGAAAAGTGCAGAATCGCCCACTGCTTGATGCATTTTTAAGAATTTTACAAACTCGGTATCCATGTACACATCGACCTACTTTCACTTAACATCCCAGAATTGCATAAAAATGGCATTGTGCACTCCTTTGACTTTATCCATGTACACATTTACCTATTTTCACTTAAAAAGTCAAAGAAAATTGGCAAAAATCCAATTCTTTTTACTCTTGAAAAAGCGCCAAACAAATAAGTGGGAAATTTTTAAAACTGGAAATCCTTTGGAAAAAAACCTAATATAACTTTTAAAACTAAAATCATTTCAAAAACATAGTAAAGAACATAAAATCCTTATAAAAACCCTGAAAAATTAATACTTTCACTTCCAAAAAATTTTAAAATATGAAAATCTAGTCCTTACAAAAACAATTTGAAAAACTAAGAATCGTTTTGAAAACATAGTAAGTTTCAAACACTTAAAATTGTTACAAAACACTGAAAAATTAAAATACTTTCACTTACCTGAAAAGGGGTAATCCACTCCTCTCAGCCGATGAACAAATTCTCAAAATGTTCTTGAATTATTGTTTAAAATAACTGCATTTCTTCCGTCTATTATCGTCTACACCAATCAGAAATTCTAAATTTTAAAATACATACTGAAAATTTGAATTTTGCACTGGAAAAATTCACAATTTAAAATTCATACTACGCATGTATGAGAAAATGCTCTCAAATTCGCCTTACAAAATGGCAAAATTGACTTGGGCATTTCCGTAGCTAGGTGGGGCTCTTTTTTTCTAGGAATTCGCTCACTTAAACCAGTGCTACCAGAATCTGATTTCTCAGAAAAGTCCCATCTTGCAAGGACTGTAGCTGAATGTGATAACCTCAATAGTGGCCTGCCCTCACTTGTCCTGCCACTACGGTCACACAAATTTTGATGCAGACATGCAAACTGTTGGGGAAGCATTCTCGATAAATGCATGCAGTGGCTTGTCCATTAATCTCAGCTATTCTATGCGCTAAGTGCATGTCTGCAAGCTCTTCATTCACAAAGCGTTCCATTATCTTCATATGGTACCTACTGGTTGCTTGAATGAGGCAATCCTTACTTTCCACTAGCACTCTCCTGTACAACACCCCCTGGCAGCATACAGTGGTGTTTCTGAGCATGTGTTCCTATAGCAATTCTTAATCCATGTGATGTACCCTACCTCTCCCAGAATATGATTAATTAAAGATGTTGCAGAAAATCTTAAAAATGTATGTTTGCTGGCTGGATAATTTAGAATCCTAGACAAGCTATTTAGTATTAAGGGTTGTAGAGGTGGTATTTTAAAAGGGTAACATAGTATTTTCCTTATCTTTCATTACCTGCCGAGTTTTACTTTGAGTGTGATCTTTAGAGTAATTTATTTTTGTTTTGTTTCAAGGCCATTTTTTTCATCTGCTGAGAATCTTAGATGAAGCCTAATCCTTCATTTTAATGGAGATAAAATGCAATAATGTAAACACACTTGGAGTTTCAATCTCTAAAGAGTGCAGTCAATTAAGGAATTTGTTTATGAATGCTATTTTTTGCCTGTAGGAAAATGAATTAATTGGTACTTGTTTTCTGCAACAGCCTTGGTGAGAATGTTAATTTGATGGTTTTTTTTTTTTTTTTTTTTTTTCCTGTACTGGCAAGAAGCCAAATTTTATGGTTACGGATTTGAATATATGCATTTCTTCTTGCATCGCTTTCAAAATACAGCAATTTTTTGTTCATGCTTCTTTACCTGAAGAAAATTTTTGCTTTTTAAAATATAGCAGTTTTTCAACATTACCAATCTGCACATATCCATTTCATCTACCCTCAACTTTAAAGTACAGTACAAAGTCTTTAATCCAGACTTGGAACATCGGCGATTCTAGATTATAGATCATCAATTTAAATCTGGTAAGATGGCATGCAGAAATTATAAAATTAAAAATATGAAACTGTATTTTATGAAATAAAGAGCAAGTATGATCAAAAGGGTATCGAAATTTACAAAAAAAAGGGGGGCTTAATATTTATTTCTTAAGTTTATTAAACATTTCTTTCATTGTAAGTTGTTTAAGTTGCTTCGTTTTATGTGCTAATACTTTCTCTTTAATTCTATAAACAGACAAAATTTCTTGTTCGGTTCAGTTTCTGCGCATGCATAGAAAGTTTGTAGCTTTGAGGTCCGGGTTATAGATCATTCCGGTACTTAGTACTGTGTAACATTTTTCATATGTGCTCGTAATTAGCATTCCTTCGGCTAGCGAAAATGTCTGCTATTGAATTATACCAGGTTTTTATTGCAAATGTTTATCTATTTTGAATTTGCTCTCAACCGCAAAGGAAGCTGTAGTTTTTAACAGTAAAAATTTACTGTATCCAAAGAAAGTGGTATGCAATTATATAACAGGAAAAAAATTGGAATTGCAAAGTTAGCAGCATGTCATATTTAAAAAATGTAACGCTTGTGGAGATCAGGAAAATTGTAAAATAAAAGACGGTGTATAGATAGATCATCATCACCTGGAATCCTGTCTGGCAGAGTTCATATTCAGGCCCCCAAGGTTGGCCATGATAATGTATTTGAGGTATTAGTAGCAAATTGCTGACCTGTGGCCACCAGAAAAAGTGGGTTTTCCTGTATGTATGTTATTTTCTTATAAATTGCTAACAAATTTAAATGATTAAGACAAATTTAATAAAATTTAAATGCTCTAAAATTATGATTTTGCTCAATAATAAGCATAATGTGCTTTGAAAAGCCTTTATATTGACACAAGTGCTGTTGTGATAAACCAGTTAGATTGTTAACTGTCTGTTCTTACTAGTGAAGAAATGTTTCAAATCAATATTCTGGCCAAGGTTGTTGCAAAAAATGAGTACCAGTTAACCACAAATGATTATTAATTAGAACTTTACAATAATATTTGGTAAAAGTTTACAATTGGGTGCCCCTTGTTTTTTATCTATTCTTTTTTGACGCCAAATTCAGTGTCAGGAAGGCGCGATTTCAAGATGGCCGCTACACAAAACCAAAATAAGAAGT